TTGGTCAACCATTGGTCTAGGAGATGAGAGTTCTGGTCCCAGATCTGTCAGTAGTTAGCTGTGTGGAGGTAGGCAAGTGTCTAATGTATTGTCATCACCAAATATAAATGTATTTATTATGCTTATTATTCTCCACTTACACTAACTTGTGATGAGTGGCAGCCATATACAAAGCAAGTGGCTGGCTGTGGTAAGGAGGGGGGATGCTCTCTGTGTCCATAGAATCAAAGATGGGCAACTCTGAGCCTCAGTTTCCCCACCTGTACAATGAGGCCTGCTACTCTGTGACTCTAAGAGCAGGGTTCATGTTGGAAGAATGAAACCATTCCTAAGATCTCTCCCGGCTGCAGGATACTAGGCATCTAGGTGAACATTTGGGTCATAACAAGCCCACCCACCTGATAAGCCTCCACAGGCCCTAAAAGTGTCTTGGAGACCACAGAATCACCTGGTGTGTCTGCATCCTAAATGCACCGAAGAGCATGGTACCCTTTAGTTCACTCCCCTCACTTTGTAGCTTGGGAAATGGAAGCACAAAGAAGTGATTTGACTTGCACAAGGTTGCACACGGTTTTTAAGCACACGGTTGCTGTGGGCTCAGTGCATTAGCACGTCGTATCAGTGAGTTCAAGGTTGCAGGCTTGGTCCTTCTATGGGCCAGTGAGCTAGGCTAGGCTCTCTAGATACAGTCCATCCCCTTATCCCAACCTGGCCACCTACTTTGTCCATGTGGGTCACTGTATACCAGTTAGTGAGAAGGAGAGTAATAATTATAAATAGTTTATGTTTATAATGACAGCTAACATTGAATGAGTGCTGACTACAACCATTATTCTGAACGCTCCATGCATTATCTCATTTATTCTCCACAAACTATTAGATATTATCATAATCCCCATTTTATGGGTAGGAATTCCGAGGCACAGAGAGATTGTATAATTTGCCCAACAGCAGATGGTTAGTAAGTGGCAAAGTCTGGAATAAAAACTCAGGCAGATTCTAGAGACCCCTCCCTTAGCTGCCTTCCTAACCTACCTCCCCTAAGGGTGACAGATGACAGAGTCCTGCCATAAATCATATTCCATTGAATCCTCTCAACAGGCCTGTGATGCAGGTGTCATAATTCCTATTTTGAAAATCAGGAACCTAAAGCCAGAGGCCAGGTGACCCAGCCCTGGTCACATATTCAGACAGGTGGGGGAGCCCCAACTTGCATCCACGTCTTCCAGCTCATTCCGCCATAGCCTTATTGGCACTGCCTCATCATCCCACCATTTCATGTCTAACAACTCAAAGTGCATCTCTGGTTTAAAAGATCGATAGTACAAGGTTCAGAAGGCTGATCCAGCATTTAGATAATTTAGATGACTCAGCATTTAAATAAAGCAGCAGGACGTCATCTCAAGGAGCACTTAACTAACTTCTGAGCATCCAGTTCATTGCAATAGAGACTTACAAGCTTTGAAAACTGTAGAAAAGGTCTGAAGACAGACAGCCAACCCACATAGCCACATTGACATCTACATCTCAAACATGAATTCCTCCCCCAAGCACACTCGTGAGGCTAAATACCTATCCTCTGATTAATGTATCAGCCTGGAGGCGGTGTCTTAATGGCTAAGCACACAGCCTTAAGGACTTGAATTACCAGGCTTCAGTTCCTGGTTCTGCCCTTGACGTGTTGTGTGAATTTTTGTAAGTTGCTCTCTTGTCTCTGTTTCCTCATCTGTAAAGTGGAGGTGGTAATATACCTGCCTCAAGGAAAGTTGAAGATTCAATGAGATGATGCATGTGAAGTGCCTAGCAAGGTGCCCAGCACATCGTAAGCTCTCAATAAATATTCGCTGTTAGTGTCATTACTCTGCGAGTGAGCTGTTCATTCATACATTCAACAAATACTTATTAAGTGTCTACCATCTGCCAAGCCCTCGGCTTGGGCTTATACTGGCGAACCGGGTCAACATGATCCCTTCCTTATTGGTTTAGTCTATAAGGAATCGTGTCTCTGGGTCAGTTTCTCAACCTTGCACTATTGACACCTTGGGCTGTGTCATTCCTTGCTATGGGGGCTGTCCTATGCTTTGCGGATGCTTAGTAGCATCCCTGGCTTCTACCCATTAGATGCCAGTAGTACACACACCACCACCACTCCCCAGTTGTGACAGCCAAACATGTCTTCAGACTTTTCCGAATGTCCCGTGCAAGGCCAAATCACCCCTGGTTGAGAACCACTGCCCTAAATACAGTTGGGTAAGTGGGCAGTGCCCACTCATAGGATTGTTGGGAGAATTAAATGAGTTAATACTTGCAAAGAGCTTAGACTTGTGTCTGCAACTCCATTAGTGTGTCAGTTATCTATAGTGTAACAAAGAAACACAAAACCTAGTGATTAGAACAGTGAGCACTTATTTAGCATGAGTTGACGGGATGGCTGGAAGGTTCTTTGGGTCTCAGCAGGCCTTGCTTCTGAGGTCAGCTGGAGGGTCAGCTGTGGTTGCCTTTGCTGATCCTGGCTGGGCTCCGTCGCTGTCTCCTCTCAGTTTCGCGTGGTGGCTCACCCTCCAAGGAGGCTAGCCCAGGCTTGTTTCCATGGCAGAGGCAGGGTTCTGAGAGAGAGCACGGAAGCACACACATGGCCACAGGAAGCTAGCTCAGAGTTGGCAGCTCTCACTTCTGCCACATTCTGTTGGCCTGAGCAAGTCCCAAGGCCAAGCAGTGGAGAAATGGACTCCATCCCTTTGATGGGAGGAGCTGTGAAGTCATGTCTCTAGAGTGTGAATACAGCAAAGTGTGGAGAATCGGGGCCACTTTTGCAGTCAATCTACCTTCCTAGGTCTTCGCCATTATTATAGATGAAAGCAGTCAGGTGCATTTCGGAAACATAACCAACTCCTGCTCCCTCTCCTCTCCCCACAGTTTCTTGGAGTCACAGAGCTCTCAGCATATTGCGAAGGCTACTTTCTCAAAAACATGATGGTCCTCATCGAAAACGAAGCATTCAAGCAGCTCCTGTATGACAAAAATGGCGAAGGGACAGGCCAGGACGTGCTCCAGGACTTACAGAGGACGTTGGCCATCAGGATTCAGTCAATCCACTTGTCATCTTCCAAAGGTTCTGTTGTATGAGACGTGCAGTGCAGGGAACGCTCCCTGGGGACTCACCAGTTCTCCTGCTGCATTGGCTTCACACACACACATATAAATTTCACCAGGTGTCTGTTTTTGGCTGGGCCAAGGAGCTGTGTCTACTGCCTCAGCTTCTCTTGAATAAGCAAATTCAGCTCCCATGTGTTCCTGTTGAAAAACAAAGGATAGTCCACCGGTCTGCAGATCAGATTGCAGCTGGGTCCGGAGCTTGAAGGTCAACATGGGGCAGCCAAGCTAACCCCCATCTGAATGCACCCCTGGGGCAGTTGAATACCCATTGCAGGGACCACTGTCGAATGGATGGATCGAGAACTAAGGGTCGTTTGGTTTCCAGGTTGACAGCTGGAGAACTTAACTCTACCGACCCAAAGAGCATCGATGACCCATTAAGGACTTTAGTAGCTGCAGTTCACCAAGAGTCAACTATGGTAGCAAATTGCTGAGACTATTGCCAATACCGAAGAAATAATTTGGCAAATTTTTAGGGGTGGGAACTTTTTAAAATGTTCATAAAAAAAACAAGAACGGGGCAGCCTTGTAGTCTAAAATATATTTCTAAAAGCTTAAAACAGTTCATTTTCAACTGAGTTGTGTTTAGGGATCTGTGTTTTGAGGTTATTTTTTTTCTTTTCCTTTTTTTTAAAAAAACAGTAAGTCACAGGTCCACACTGTATAACATGCATCTGACAAGATATTGCTGATATTCTATACAAGGTGAAATAATCTTGCCTTAGTGATCATGGTTACACAAAAGAGGTGCACTGCCAATAATTATCTAATTCAGTAGTTGAAAACAGCCTGCATGCTAATCGTGGTTTCGGGGTGAGATTTAAATGCCCCCACATAACAAAACGTGTTTGCATGGGCGCAAACCTGTGAAATGTTACGTTTGTGCTTCCTTTTGCCAAGATAAAAATGTTCCATCACTTCTTGCTAAAAGTCCATCTGGTGAAACTAACATATCCATTTCTTTTCCTGATTACGAACGAGTCTGGATGCTTTTGCAGAAATGTGTTCATAGATGATGCTGAATGGGGGGTGGGGGGGAGCACGTCAGAGAATTTACTATTAATCTCAGAGTTCTCTCTGTATTCTCAGAAGATGTTAATAGTTTGTTACTAGCCAGAGAATATGACTATGTTAGATTATTTTTAAAGATGAAACATATATGATAGGATGGATTCTTTCTGTATTCTGAGAGTGTACAGTATAGGGTTATCTATAATGAAAGTTTATATCGACAGGGTTCTGTTTGCTCTGCCATATATTATAAGCAAAACAGATCGGTGAGGTGCCACGATATTCTAAATAATTTTTGAGTTGCTGCCTGTTTTCTTGTCCTTTCATTTGAAACCTAGATACATGCAGTAAAAACTGAGAGAATGACTTTTACCACTTTGGGATGGCCAAGTTTTGTTGATAACCCTATTTCCTAGCATGCCTTTGGGAAGTTGTACACAGACCCTAGATTCTAAAGGAGCTGCTGTTCATCCGTCCTCCTCACTCCCTGAGCCATTGTCCAGAGGACCAACGTCCAGTCCCGTTTCATGGCTGTGACCCTTGGAGTACGCGGGCCACGCTGTCTACGGTATTGGCCCTGCTGGGATCCTGATACACAAGGCCTCTCGTCTACTTGGTCATTTACAAACCTCCCCAGGCCCTACCATCAAATGAGGAAAGGGGGGGAGAAAACTGCCTGCAGAGGAGCCCGAGTCACAGATACACAGCACGTGAGTGAGTCCTTGCTGTCTCCTGCGTCCGTCGTGTCCTCAGAGATGCCACGTGGATGTTTCCTTAACCTCGACGGACTTCCTGTGAATGTCTAGTACTAGTACAGGGTCTCCAGGCGTTGATTTGTACGGCGGCAACTCCTGACCGGCTTCTGTTACAGTTTGGTGTGCTTTCTCTGTCATTAAAAGAAATGATTTTCCCAAGCCGTGCATCACTTGATGAAGCCTTTGGGAGTGGGGGGATGGAGGAAAACAAGTTCTGTCAACATGGTGCGTCCCCCACCGAGGGCCAGCATGAGTCGTTGCTCATGGATGGTGGCAGCATTCTGGGGTGAGCGTTGGGGGTCACGGAGGGACAAGTTGGGTGTCATCACTGAGGTCAAACCAAGTCCCTAGCTGGTCTGCTCTGGCTCCTGACCCAGAGCAGGGTCCTGACCCAGCTGGGTCCAGCCCAGCTGTGTGTGGGGATCAGTACCCCTGGTTCTTCCACAGAGGCCTACAGGAAGCCAGGAGGAGGCCCAGGCAGCCCCAGAGACCTGGCCAGTGAGGCCCGGTCAACAGCTGACATCACAGGCACCTCCCGGGAATGACTACTCACCCCTGCTTAGGAGTTGGGGTCTGTTTCTTCTTTAAGAAGCAACCAAAGCAACCAAGAACCAGGGGCCAGAACTCTGAGTCAGGCCGGGAGAACAGAAGGTCAATTATTTTTGACTGTGCGTCACCCTCTGTGTAGCCTCAGGGTGAGTGAACCATTGGATGTATTCCCTTTGGAAAGATAGACTGTATGCCATGGCTTTGCCTTTTACTGGTCCAATAGGTGGCTTTGTCTTTCAGTCCTTAGCGAAGCCTGCACAAGGACCCCCAGCATCTGGGGGCGAGGAGAGGAGCCTGCCTGCCTGCCACAAAGCGCCCCTCCACCTCTTCCATTTGCCCTGAGAAAACGGAAGAAGCACATGCCTGCAGCTACCTGAAGCAACACAGAGCCTCCGCTTGGCTTCTGCTGCCCCCGCCCCACATGTAATTGGGCTTCTGTGTGCCATGTTTGAGTGTCACCCTCCATTCTCCCCAAAAAGAGAATCCTCCATCCAAAATGGAGACCGAGGTGTGAGCTCCCATCACAGGAGCGGCCCAGGCAGAAGCTGGAAGGAAGTGCAGTCATGCCTCAGGGTAGGGTTGGAGGGAGGGGCTCGCAGATCTTCTCCACCCCTGAGATTCTGTAGTTCTGAGTTCCCTTTTTGTAGCTCACTTGTTTTTCCTGTGAAGCCCTAGGCAAAAAGTGTTACTCCAGCTGGGTGTTGTTTCATCCAGTGTTGTCTGATCAAGGCTATTTTATCACTCGGGGTTTTACTAACCTCAGGCCGTGTCCTGCAGCAGCAGCGTGGATAAAGGGGTAAGGATCCTAGACAATTCTTTGAGAAAACCTCCTATTTCACCACCCCTGGGGTCCCTGCTTTCTTCAAGAATCAGTGCTCGTCTCCCTCTCCCCCTCGCCTTGTGTTTTCTAGCTTGAGTCACCGATCAATGGTCGCAGAAGTAGCCACATCCTACCACTTCTGACTCTTTTGCCTACTGGCGCCTACACAGACACCCTCCAAGACTAGCAGACCATCTCCTGGGCTTCTTGGCTTGAGGGCTCACGTCAGGGAGACGTTCACAGAGCCCCTTCTGTGCAGTACCCATAGCTGGGCTCTGGCTCCAGGCGGGCCTGAAAACGTTTGCCTTCCAAGCCAATCCAGCCCCTGACCAGCTTTGAGACACTGGACAAGTTACTTTACCTAGTTTTCATTTTCTTCTTTTGAGAGATTGACTGTAACTAGTTAACAGGGTTGTTGGGAGGATTAAAGGAGATATTTTGTATAGGTCCTACACAGTTAGTAGCAGAAAAAAAGCATTTCCAAACTTCTAAGGCCGAGCAGAGGGAAGGAGAAATTGGAGACTCCCACAAGGAAAGGAAAGTCAACGATTTTGCCCATTTCTAGAACTTTCTACCACAGCGATTCCCATGGTGGTTTGTGATTCTCTAAGGGTTTGCTACTTATTCCAGGGGATGTGGGGAAATTCCCCAAAAACAGCTCTGTTGCAGTCCTGGTTCCTAGCAGAGTTGCCTCATCCAAGTCGGTGATCAAGAAATGTTTAAGTCAATGGAAGCCAAGTTCAACTAGATTTTCTTTCATATAAATACTATAAATACTTCATATAAAATATTTTCATATAAATAGTAAATATAAAGACTATATAATACATATAAATAGTAAAAATACTTTCAAATAAATACTATATTAACTAAATATTAGAGTTGCAGAGATCAGCTCTCCCAGACTCTTCATCTGCTCAGGAATGTGAGACTTACATTTGTGACTCATGTGACATGAGTCTAAGGCCCCAGGCCCCACAAATGACTGAGCAAGGATAGACCCACTGGGGCGACTTTCAGTCCCGGGCTGGGGACCATGGCTTTTTAGAGAGGACGGTAGTCACAAATCCCCAAATGAAACTAACTGCTAGAATGTCAACTCCAGAAAAATCTGGGATCCCTGTCCTCATCAAGTCTGCAGCTAAGTCCATGTCCTTTCCTGCCACTTGAGTGTGTGGACACTCATCCCCTCGCCCTCCACTGAGAAATCTCCCTGGTGAAACTTTACGTCACCTCCGTTCCTCCCAGCCTGGCCAACGCCTTGAATCAAGCAGCACGTGTCTTTGGACAGGACCATGGCAGAAGCTGGTGTGATGCCTATTTTTTCACCCTTTTTAAAAATAACCCAGCAGATTTTAAACTTCCTGCTTGGTGGGGAAAAAAAATAGAACTCGCACTCAGCAATCAGAGTGCACGTTAGTTCCCTTTGCTGATGAGGCAGTCAGATAATGAGTGCCCTGCAGAAGGACACATCTCCGAGTTTAGCTCTGGATATGAAAAGACAATCTGCCCACATGAATAGGCAATTAAAAGAGATGCCCTGATGTCGCTGATACGTTCTTTGGATGTTGCTATTCAGAGTTAACCTTCGGATGAGTTCTGAATTTTAGTGCCATCTCAAACCTCTGGGACAAAAATCTGCAAAGAGAGGAGGCGGTGGCTTAATAGAGGGCTCTGGGCTGGGCACCAGATCTCACCTCTGATCCCATTGCTACCATCGGCTACTTGGGTGACCTTGGCAGGGCCTATTCTCCATTTTGGACATGTTCCCTCAACTCTGAATGAGTCTTTCAGAGCTGATGTTCTGTGTACCTAGACTGGGACATGTCACACTTCTTTTACCACATTCATATATTAGAACCTTGTGGTAACACTGTTTGGTGTAATAGAACATTCTGGATTGCATCCAGGAAGACTTAGAAAAAGGGACCTCAGTGTACAAAGATGTCTTTGGTAACACAGCAGGAAACCAAATAAAAGCCTTACAACAAGGCTCCAAGGATATTGTATTATAAGGATGCCTCTCACCAGATCATGGCCTCATGACTACCATCTCTTTTCTGTTTTGTTTTCTTTTCACTTTTTGTTTTCAAATAATTCTAGATTCATAGGAAGTTGTAAAGATAGCACGGAGGGGTCCCTTGTACCCTTCACCCACTTTCCCCCAACGGTCACATCTTAAGTACCTCCAGTACAATGTCAAAACCAGGAAACTGACATCAGCACAATGTGTGTGCATGGTTCTATACCATTTTATGACACGTGTAGATTCATTTAGCCACCACCACAATCACTGTTCCATCACCACAAAGATCCTACCTCCTTCCTCCACACACACCATCCCCAACCCCTGGCAATCACTGATCTGTTTCCCATCTCTATTGTTTGGGCATTTTGAGAATGTTATATGAATGGAACCATACAGTAAGTGGCTTTCTTCATTCAGCTCAGTGCCTTTGAGATCCATCCAAGGATGTCGCATGTATCAAGAGGCTGTTCCTTTTTATTGCTGAGTAGTATTCCCCAGTGTCCCATCTCATTTTAACCAAATACATGGGCATGTCAGGAACTATGCCAATAAGACAGTGTGGCTCCGGCAGGTCACTCTCTGGTCATAGCTCCCAGAAAACAATTATGTCTGGACATGACTTTCTCATCCTGCAGCATCAAAATGAGACTGTCTGGAGCCAGACAGGTGGCATAGCGGTTAAGTTCACGCGTTCCACTTTCACAGCCCAGGTTCGCCAGTTCGGATCCTGGGCGCGGACCTATGCAGTGCTCATCAAGCCATGCTGAGGCAGTGTCCCATATAGAAGAGCTACAACTCTACAACTATGATACACTACTATGTACTGGGGCTTTGGGGGAGAAAAAAGAAAAAAGGAAGATTGGCAACAGATGTTAGCACAGGGCCAATCTTCCTCAAAAAAAATAATTGGAGTGAGCCTTTAAAAAAAAAAAAAAAAGATGAGGCTGTCCTATGATGTTAGTCCAACAATTTGGTCTTGGTGATGGATCACTGAGGTCCACTGCTCTCACCTGAGCTAAATGGTCTTTCAGCTCTGCAGCAAGTTCCCTCTAAGATTGAATGGCTTTTCCATACATCTCACCGATAGAGTAAGGAATGCTTCTCAGACTCACTCTGTATGGGGACCTCACATCACTGGGGATCTCATTGAAATGCAGGTTCTGATTTAGGGGGGCTGAGGCGGGCTTGAGACTCAGCATTTCTAACAAGTTCCCGGGTGATGCTGCTGCTGCTGGTCCAGGGACCACACTCTGAGTAGCGAAGGTGTAGGGTATGGAGGGCAGAGGGTCATCTCAAACCCTTTCTGCTGCCAGACCAACCTGTGACTTTTGTCCTGTCGCCTGGCCTTGCTAGAATCTCAACTTTGTGGGTTATCACAAGCTTTTTCTTCTGACCCAGACCATGAAGACGTTTTAGCAATACATCTGAGAAAATCATTTGAAAAACCTAATTTTTTCTAAGTGGAAGGTTCATGCAATCTGAATTAAACCTCAGGAATTGTTCACACACA